TCGGATCCCTACACTTGTAACTTTGTGGTAAATACCCAGTAGTGCAATTGCTGGATCGTATGGTAGCTCTATTTTCAACTGTTTGAGGAACCTCCAGACTGTTTTCCAGAGGGGTTGCACCAGCTTGCATTCCCACCAACAGTGTAGGAGGGTTCCCCTTTCTCCGCATCCCCGCCAACATCTGTCGTTTCCTGACTTGTTAATTTTAGCCATTCTGACGGGTGTGAGGTGGTATCTCATTGAGGTTTTGATTTGGATTTCCGTGGGAGCTGCTTTAACTCGGCCTCCAAGTGGTCAGGCCAGTGACATCAGGATGAAGTGTTCTCAAGGGACTGGCCAGCGAGGGCTGGGTCTCCAGAGGAACCCACAACCCTGGCACAACGGAAGGGGCCCTTCCTAGGATGACACCAGGGCTCTCCAAGTTCTCCCATGAACCTTCCAGAAGAGAACTCACATTTACTGCCAGCCTCATGTCTCCCAATTCTTCTATCAGAGGATGATTTCCAAGAGTATTATGCAGCCATTGCATTAACCTACTTTCTGAAAATTAGGGTTTTAAAATTTTAAAGATTTATTTTGGATTATCCCAAATTGATTGCTCTCTTTCTTTGCTTTCTACTATATTTTTCATGTCGCTTTTTATTGTAAAAATAATATTTGTTAAAAAACACCTCCAATAGCACAGAATATAAAATAAAAAGTAACATTACCGCACTAGACTCCAGACATAGACATGCTAACAGTTTCCAGGGTTATCGTTCCAGAAATTTTCCATGCATATACAAACATATATTTAATAAGTTAAATATGTGTATGAATATAGGTGCTTATGTAGGTATATTTTATAGATTTCAGCTTATTCTGGGTTAAAACTGTACACAGTTGCTTTCAACTTGGTTTTGTCACCTAGCTGTAAATTGGACTTTAAAATGTAAAGCATCATTTCATTTATCGTAAACATATTTGTGGGAAACCTATTCTCTGCAGTCCTGAGAGAAGGGGAGAGAAGGTCCTGATAACTGAGGGTAGGGAACACAGGGCGTATCCTTCTCACTATAAAAATGAATTTTATTATACATCTGTGTGATTTCATCAGAAGACTCCATTCTTTTGAAACTATGCCTTTCTACCTAAAGGTCCACGATTGCACAAAATCACCCCAAGTATATTTCCTCTGGACACAACTGGGTAATTGGATAAGAGTGGAGCGCTGCAGGATCGTGGCTTGCACGATCCACTGCTTAATAGTGGAATTCATACACCTCCCTTCTCCGCGCCAGGCTGGGCCGCCGGGCTTGTTGTGTGACTGGGGGAGGGGCACTCAGTGAGCAGGTGGCTACAGCACCGTAGAAACAGTAACTGGCTTGGCGTACAGGTCTAAGTGCCCTGCGTTTCTTAACAACCCCATGGGGCAGGTGTGAGTCTTGTCCCCCTCTAGCCCCGGGGGGGGGGGGGAACTGACCCACAGGGAAGCCACACGACCCGCCCACGGCTACACAGCAATCTCCAGCCTGTGTTCTTAATCATTATGCGAACTTCCAGGGGCAGTAATGGTGGGCACGGGGCCAGTCAGATCAAGTAGGAGATAGGGAGGAATTCTGGAGGGAGACTCCTCAGGGAGGGTTTCCTAAAGAGTCTCGACTTGAACAAGAAGTTAGTGAGGCAGAGGGTGGTGGGAGGAAGCAAGAGAAGGCAGGTGAGTGGGGACACAGCCTGAGTCCTTGAGCCTCACTCTTTAGGGGTCTTGATGAGGGCGGGGGTGAGGGCTGAGATCTCAGCTGAACTTCCAAAATGGCTGAAGAGAATCTGGGAACATCTGGGCCACGCTTGTCTTCCTGAGTGTGCAGCCTGCTGGACGGGGATGGAAGGAATCAGACGGTGGTGAGGAGGAGAGGCCTTGGTGGATAAGGTCTGAAGGAGCCTGCACATGCCCTGAGGCTGTGCTCCTGGGGGATGTGGGGTTCCCGAGGGAACTGGCATCCCAGCGAAGGTGTGCTCAAAAACAAGAGACCAGGACTGCAGGTGCCCAGTGATTGGGGCATGTGGTGGAAATCACAGGCTGCGGAAGGAAGCCCCCCAAGGACCAAGTGGGCTGGCCACTCTGCGTTGGACCACATAGCTACACGGCATGCCTGCAGGACGCGGCCAGGGCACGGTCAACAGCGTGCACCCAGACCTCGTTCACTCTTGATCTAGCCCCCAAGGGTCGGGGGGAAGGTTCAACTTCCCTTTGTCATCAGATGTCATAAGGGGAGGAAGAATGGTATAACATTCTTGATAGGCATTTGAATTGACTCCAAATATACTCAAAATAGACAGTTCATCTGAAAGAGACTATTTCAAACCAGAAGACACTGAGTTACCTGCAGTGGGCAAAGCTAAGTTTTTCTTAGATTGTGAGCAGGAGAGCGGGCAGTCCGAGGACAAGTTCAGTGAGGGGAAGACTGGGTTTTGGTATTTGGATAATAGAAACACATGCTATTTTTAAAAGCTAAAAACACTGATATCTTTGCTGATATAATGCCATTACATTTATAACAGCTTTATTGATGTCCACATAGACACATAAAGTATAGAGTTTGATAAGTTCTGACTCTCTAGACCCAGGAAACCACCACCAGAATGGGGAGTGGAAGGAATGTGATGGAGAAGGGAGGATGTATGTGCACATATATGCCTCCCTCTCTGTTAATAGCTTTATTCCCCTGTTTATGATTATTACTGGCACAGAATTAATACAACCTCTAACTTTTCACTTTAAATATCTTTTCACCGAAAATGTCCTGTTTTGCTTTAACATATCCTTGACAAATAAGATATCAGAAGAGGGGCGCCTGGGTGGCTCAGTTGGTTAAACAACTGCCTTCGGCTCAGGTCATGATCCTGGAGTCCCGGGATCGAGTCCCGCATCAGGCTCCCTGCTCGGCGAGGGGCCTGCTTCTCCCTCTAACCCTCCCTGCTCTCATGTACTCTCTCTCTCTCATTCTCACTCTCTCAAAATAAATAAATGAATCTTAAGAAAAAAAGATATCAGAAGAAAATCTCACCAATTTAATCAATTATGAATTTTTAAATATCATCAGTATTTTAAAATTGTATTTGTATAATAAAGGACAGAACTCCTCAATCAAAAGCAATTAATTGCTATATCAAACATTCATAAAGTTTGTTATAAAACTTAAGTGTTATTGAGGAAACAGTGTATTAGAATGCCATACAAAGTTACCACAAGAGCATTTATGATGGCTGAAATGTCTCTAAATCATTGTAAAAGTAACTGATACATATTTGGTATCTATTGCTGCATTACATGTTATATCAGAACTTAGTGACAGAAACAACAAATGTTTATGTGGTCACCGTTTCTGTGGGGAGGGACCAGATGTGACTGTGTTGGGGCCCCCTGCCTCAAGGTCTCCCAACAGGCTGCAAACCAAGCATCAGCCGGGGCTGCAGTCTCATCTGAAGGCTCCCCTGGGGGGACAATCCACGTCTGGTGTCATCACATGGCTGTGACCAGAAGTTAGTTCTTCCCAGGCTGCTGGAGCAAGGCCCTCAGTTCCTTCCCTCATGGGCCCCTCCCCTGGGCAGCTCACAACGCGGCAGCTGACTTTTCTCTGAGCAACGAGGCACAGAGCAAGAGAGACAGCAAGAGAGGCAGGCAAGAAGGCAGTGACACCCCATCACTTCTGCCACTGCGTTTCCTTCAGAAGGGAAGTTTTAGGTCTAGATCACACTCAAGGGGAGGACATCATGAGGAACAAAAGGTGAGGTCACTGGAGGCCATCTCAGAGATTGCTTACCATGGGTATGAATATCTTTTAATGTCATTTGTTGAGATGAAGTTTGATTTTCTGTTGCTGACAGTTAAATTCTCTGGTTCTGATGAGCTAACTTAAGTGGGTGTCTGAGCATCTCTGAACCCAATGGGATGTGGCACAGTGCCCATTAAAGGAAACGGAAGGCCGAGTCTGGCCTCCACGGCTCCTGGGACTGATCACTACAATCTGCCCTCCTTTTCTCCCCCTCGTGAAATAAAATAGATTTTAAAACTGCTCTAACTAGGTTTTCTACAAAGTGTTTGTTCCCCTGTGTGGAAACTTCTGTGGTCCACAAGTGTCTGTGCTACTCTGTGTGCTTCTCTAAAAACGAATACCTTTCGACAACGCTCTTTTGGGAGCAAGCTTTAAATCACTACATTTCACTCAGGAGCATTAAAGAAGACACTTCATGCGGGAAGGCCTGGGGCCTTGTCCCCAGAACTGCTACCCCCCCATCATTTCAAAGAGGTCCAGGGCCTCCGTGTCAGGTCACAGGGTAAGCAGTGGTCTCAGAGAATTCTGACAGAGCAGAGCTGTGACTGACAATCTCAAGGCTCATGCACACGGAGAGGCAGGCCAGGCCCTGGTGGGGAGGGCAGCAGGGCCTGCTTGTGCCTGGACCCCTTGGCTTCCAGACAGATCTGGCCCATGAAGCCCACCCGTGACGTTCAATTTCATGCAAACACAGGAGCATTATATGGACCTTATTTATTTATTTATTTAAAAGTATATTTTCAATGTTGTATACTTATTATTTTATTTTATTTCTTAGAAAGGGAGAGAGCATGCAAGTGGGCGTGGGAGGGGCAGAGGGAGAGGAAAAGAGGGAATCTTAAGCAGGCTCCACGCCCAGTGCAAAGCCCGACATGGAGCTCGACCCCACAACCCCAAGATCATGACCTGAGCTGAAATCAAGAGTCAGATGCTTAACCGACTGAGCCACCCAGGCGCCCCATTATATAGACCTTATTTTAAAAAAGCAAACACCAGCACAAAAAGCAATCTCATTTAAAAAAAAATGAGTTCCTGAATTCTTAGCCTTGACATTTCACTCTTCTAAAGCAAAGCCCAAATCCCCATGAATCTATATGGACGTGCTTCTGTGCTTGAAAACATACAAGAGCCTCAACCCCTACAGAAGAGACTGTCAGGATGTATCTCTGTGCAGCTCACGTTTACCTGCATTCGATGAACCAATGCCGGATCTGGTCCTGAAGGTTTTCCTTGATGTCTGGACCTTCTATTAATTTCAGGTCATCCTTGATTGTAACCAAGGCTTCTTTGTAGTTCTCCTCATGCTTTACCTGCACCTCATTCCTCAGGAAGCTCACCTTTTCAGCCTGGATTACTGTAGCACTGACTTCATTAAACAGAGGAGGTGGTTTCTGAAAACACAAGCAAAAAAGTTTGAGATCATAAACGTTATCGTACTGGTGAAGGGCATCAGACACTAATGAAGTATGTCAATATCTTTGATGCTGTCTTATCAAGGCCTACGACAAATACATACAGAGTGAAAGAATCAGATCTGGCAGGAAAATCTGAAGAAATGATTCACCACTATGGAGAGGAAAGATGGGGAACACTTTATACCATTTCCCAGAATCTGGGGGGTGGGAGTTAGCTTGAAAAATGCATAGTCAAAGATGAATGGATAAAGAAGATGTGGTATATATACACCATGGAATATTATGCAGCCATCAAAAGGAATGAGATCTTGCCATTTGCAACGACGTGGACGGAACTGGAGGGTGTTATGCTGAGCGAAATAAGTCAATCAGAGAAAGACATGTATCACATGACCCCACTGATATGAGGAATTCTTAGTCTCAGGAAACAAACTGAGGGTTCTAGAGGGGAGGGGGTAGGGGGATGGGTTAGCCCGGTGATGGGTATTAAAGAGGGCACGTACTGCGTGGAGCACTGGGTGTTGTGCACAAACAATGAATCATGGAACACGACATCACAAACTAATGATGTAATGTATGGTGATTAACATAACAATAAAAAATAAAAAAAATGCATAGTCAAGAAACATTAAAAAAATACAGTTCTAACTCCAGAAAGTGTTTCCGAATCTTCTTGGTTAACGGGAGAACAAAGAGTACAGAGGGAGAAAGTACCTGAAGAAAGACTGATGAAAAGTTTGGGTGCTCTGATTTTAAGAAAAACTACCCCAAAATCAACTCTGCAAACATCCGTTCTATTGTTAAAGGCCTCCCAAGGAGGAAATTCTCAGCTGACTCCAAACATTCACCCTGATTTTACATCTTTTTGTTAGAATGTTCTACTTCAAAATCTACTGATTAGCAAGTCAACAGAAGTCTGGCTACTAAGCACCAATCAAATGCTCAGCACTGGTCTCTGTCATCTAACGTCTATGGGGGTTGTGGTAAAAGAAAATACAAAATCACTTTGAGGGGCGCCTGGCTGGCTAAGTCCGTCTAGCATACGACTCCTGATCTCAAGGTCATGAGTTCAAGCCCCAAGTTGGGTGGAGAGCCTACTTAAAAAAAAGCCAAAAAACAACAAAACAAAACAACCTAAATCATTTTGAGACATAATTCCTGTTCTCTAGAATCTTTAAAGAAATGGAGTTGGCAAGAGAAGAGTAATGTAAGACGTAGTAGCGAACAATGTCAGATAACCTAGACCTTATAACATGGGTTTGGATGGAGATTTTGAACTAAAAGAGACTTGGAGAAGGAAAACATGTATGGGGCGGAGGTGCCCGGAATCCCACCTCTGCAAGCTGACGGACTGTCTCTCTCACAGACAAAGGATCCGAGCTCTACGCATTTCAAAGTCAGCCCCAGCCATTCAGCAAATAAAGGGCATATTCACTAGTGTGCTGGAGCCAGCCCGTAATAGCTCATGGGAGCCAACTGACACATTTTCTAGAATTTTGCAAGCTGTTGTTAAATACAGCCATTCTAAAATGCTAAACTGTAGAAACTTAGGGAGCAAATTATATTACAAAGTTCTCAATACTCAAAACTCATCACTTCCTAATTATTTTGCTGGGTATTACTATATCATCTATGTTCTTGACATTATTGCTGTCTGTTGTATCTCTATGGTGAAAATACTATATAATGGTATGCCAGAAGGCGTATCTTCCCAACTGTGTTATTCCGCTTACTAGCTTGACTGGGCGACAATGGGTATATTTACGTCATGGAAATTAGCAAATGCTATTTAAATTTAACCCTAAGTTGTTCTGATTTCTCTGTTTGCTCTTTGTCTTTCTTGTGTTCAGTTTCATTTTGCTGAAGCATGCCCATGAGGGTAATCTTCAGAGTGCATACGTGCAACTGTGAACTGTCCAAGTACTTGCCCTTCCGAGGTGTTTCCTTGGGCCCCTCCCACCTGAATGGGAGTGTGGCTGCTTCCCTGGAGGAGACTTCTAGCATGCAGAGCCTCTAGTGACTGGCTTGTTGGACACTGTTGATCCTTGCGGATAAGCTGTTCTCCCTCCTGCTTTACACTCGGAGCTCTGAATGCTTATTGAAATGCGTCTAGGTGTGGGCAGGTCCTCACTCACCATATTCTCCCTTTGGTGGGTCCATTCAATATACAAAAGTCTGTCTTCAACTCTGAAAATTTCCCTTCTGTTATTTTCCTTCTGTTATTTTCCCCCATTTCTCTCCCTGCAACAAATCTTAGATAAAACGCCAGGCCACCAGATTAATCTTCCGCAACTCACTTTTCCCTTGTACGTTCCATCTCTCCTTGATCTATTTGTACTATGTTAGAGGAGGTTCTTGAACTTTATCTTCCAGAATTCATTTGGTTTTCAGTTATGTCCACTTATTATTTGCATTTATTTAACATTTTAGGGGGGTTATTGTTTTGCCTTTGGGGGCATGCTTTTTATTTCCCCAGAATTCTTTCTCATTTTATTTTTGTTCCCTTCTTGTTTTTAGTAGTCATCTTGTTTGGGGAAATTTTTTTTAGATGCAACATATCCTCAAATACTGATGAGTAATTTTTTCCAAGTTTTCTTTTTTTTTCCCCCTCTCAAAATTCTGGAGAGCTTAAAAAAACAGATTCCCAGTTTCATCCTGGGGGTGAGGAAATAGGAAGAAACTAGTAGTTTTTGAAAATCTTCACGTGATTCTGATAATTATCCAGGTTTGGGGTTTGGTAGCCTGTAGCGCACAAGTCAAACTTGACCCACAGGCATGTTTTTGTAAATAAAGTTATACTGGATCATGGCCAAGCCCATTCACTTACATACTGTCTGTGGCTGCTTTCATGCTCCAAGGACAATGTGGAAAAGTTGTGGCAGAGACTGACAAAGAAGAAGGGAGAGGGGGAGTGGGGGAGGGAGAGGAGCTGTTTAATAGAAGACTCACAGAAGACAAGGCAGGTATCATTGGCAGTGTGCATGCACGCTCACTCTACAGAAGTAATCCCTCAACCCTTACAATAAGCCTGCCAGGCAGATGTTTGTAGAATATTAAGAAATGAGCCAGAGAGGCTAATTAGCTTTCCCAAATTCACAGAGCTGGCAAATGGCAGAGGCAGGAAACAACCCCTGGTTTATCTGATCTAAAGCCACGGTCTGGGGTTTGGGACAGAAGCCTGTGTGCGAGTTGAGGCTCAACCACCCGCTGCCTCTGTGATTTTGTAAAAGGATCGCCACTGGTGTGGCTCAGTTTCCTCCTCTATGTGAGGCCCTGCTCCAGAGCCTGGCACTGAGTGACGCTTCCCTGCATTTACTGCGGTTGTTATGGTGACTGTCACCATAACGTCAGGTGCACCAACATCTGAGCCCGTGAACCCAGGAGTGCTAGGAGTTACCGTACAAGGAAAATTTCAGGGATAAGAGAAAAACATCAAAGTTCATCTCAAAAGCTTTGAAAGTCAAGTATAGGACATACATTTACAAAGGACATTAACAAAATTATACATTTAAATCAATTAATTGGAAAAAAGATATTCTTAAAGACTCAAATTGATGCGATATATTAAAATAGATTCAAAATGGATGAAATAGGTAATTGTAACAAGTATGCATGTACACACACACACACACCCACACACCCACACACCCACACCCACACACACACAATCTCCAAGAGATACCTATGACCCTCTGGGAGTGATTTCTCAACTAGAAACCACAACTGAGATGCCATTAGAATACAGCACCCACTTAACAACACAAAGTCCGTGAAAAAGATGAAAAAAATTACACATATAATACTTTGAGTTTAGTATAATGGAAATGTACAACTTTTATGGTAAAAAAAATGCTAAAACCACTTTAAAAGTGAATCTAGAATGAAGATTATAGGATCACTTTAAAGAACAATGTTCACAACAAATGATCTAAATTCCCTCTCTATGCAGGTGCTCAAGGCGTGACTATATTATGTATCTTGTGCCAAAATAAAGAGATAGAAATTTCCTTCATTTAATCATTTTAAAAAGTATCCAATTCTTATATCTTTCAGGTGATATTTTTTTATTCCTAGTGTTTACATTTTAAACATACAAAGTGGGAGTTTATAATTTACAGAACAAATTTTATTTGATCTCTGCAATGACTATTTTAAAGTTCATTGTTTACATGAAGATGTTAAATGGCTTTTTATTACAAATGACCCAAATTTCTTTGTCTGTAATGAATGTGCAAAATTGTTTTGAAGTCTTGCATTAATGTTCTGATTCTCTATTCTATCAACTAATCATATGGTATTGCTTCACCCCCCAATTACTTTGTTCTTATGGTAATATACAGCAGATTTCTTTCACAGATGTACACGTACAAACTATATCGTAGCTGGTTTTTCCCCCTTTCATCCCTTAAAAATGAAGCAGTGAGTAGGTGACTCTGATTTGGGTCTTGGCAATTGTTCTTTAACACTACAGAGCGTTCCGCAAACTTCCTAGCGCTTCCATGATCTTCGATTGGAGCAGAGAAATCTCTCAGCTCTCACTAGATTTTTGTAACAAGCCCAGTGACCCGTGCTCTGTCCTCTGCGTTCTTCCTCTATGTTTCCTTACTGATGTTCACATCCATTTTGGAGGTAGAAATGAGTACGTGACTATCCCATTGAACAGATGAGGACACTGAGGATCATGCCTAAGTGGCTCTCCCAAGTCATTCTACGTTAATGAAGAAGCTAGCAATAAGGTTTCCCGATTCCTTCCATTCTGTGTTTCTCCTATTACACCATGCTGTGCCGTTAATATGTGTGTATTCATGCATGCTTCTTGATATAGACTTTCTCTGACAAAAATACATTTGGGGTCATTTGTAGCTTCTTTCTCTAGTTGCTTTTGAATTTAAAGGTTATAATATATTTAGGTCCTATGTTAATGAGCAGCTTTTCCTTTGGGCTAAAACATCTTTTCCTCGTTAGCAACTTTGGTC